ATTTACAGCTTTGTAACACTGGCGTACATCACTGCTTCAGAAAATTTCAACATGTTGGGTCACATCTAAAGTAAAGGATGGTATTTAAACAACCAGAACTGCACCAGAGCCTTTCTGTGAGAGTATCTTTGGACCACATCCCTTTTAGAAATTGCCTGTAATGTTCTGGTGAAATGTTAAGGTTTTTTAGAACAAAAGGTTAAAAAAAGATTAGATGTGGTTTTCCTTCAATTTTCACAGGCTCTTGGATGACTTACAACTAAATAACTAAATGGTCATGCTAATAAATGAAGTTTACGTTACTTCACCAGCCATCTAACCTATTCACTACTGAAGTTTACTACGATGAACCCGATCTGCTGTGGAACGGTTTTGTAATTATACCATTAGATGACTTGATTATGTAGACATTTCATCCTATCCTCACCTCCAAACAACAAGAAGGATTCTTTCAAAGGTACTAGGTAATTTCTACACTGAACAGAACGATTATCCAAGCATCTACCACAATCTAATCTCTCACAGAGAACAACAACCTGCATTGCTGCTACAGAGAGGAGTGAGAGCAATCCAAGACATGGCAATACTACTGTGTATGCAAGTCAGTGTCATGAGTTGAAAACTAGAGCAACTTCACCTGTTGTCTTGGATTAGTAGCTCCACAGGGATTCTGTACGAAGATCAAGCTTTAGCCTGTCTACTAATGCATGTAATTAGAATTTATTTCAAGAATATGATACATATAATGACAAGGTTCGATGCTGCAAATGAACTGACATTTTTTGTCCAGATTTGTCTACTGTTGTTGACTGTAATACAGTACAGATGCTTAACTGTCTCAAACGTATCTTACGAAGTTGTATCTTGTATAAAATAATTAGGGAAGATCTTAAAATTTCTTGAATTTCTTGTTGGTGCACAAGGCCTTCTATATGGTTTTTGGTTTTGAGTATTGGCACAAAAGTAGCATTTGTCCACCTTCTGGAATTCAGCTGCTCTTCTAAGAGACTTTAAAAAATAATCAGTAAGCTAATCATTTTGCCAGCCAAATCTTGTCAATTTTTGGATGCATATTACCACGTACATCTTCTTCAGTTATGAAAAGATATGTTCAGAGTAATGAACATCTTATTTCTGTCCAACTGCAAGGAAGACATTGCTATCAAAGTTTTGCACTAGTTTCAATTTTACAACTGCTACTAAGCAAGAGCTACATTTATATAATTGCGAGACTTCACTAATTCCTAAAATAGTAACTTTAGAACTTCAAAGTAGTAACTTCAACTATGCTTGTCCTTAGCATTACAAATGTTTAGCTTATTTGTAAGAGTTTTAAGCTTCACTACATATAACTTAATACTCTTAGTCTGCATCCCTGTATGCATCAGTGAGTAGTCCACAACACAGTGACCCAAAAAAGTAGGAGAAAAATCAAGCAAGGAAGTCAGAGCCAGATGTAATACTTGTTTTGTGTTTGGGAGTGGTTTAGTTGGTTCTCCTGGTGAGGTGCGGTCTTCCACACTATCTTTTGCTAAAGTTAAGTAACGGTTCTGATTGTAATTGTTTTTCAATGTTTATAATGTTGCCAGATCTGTCATCTTCCATATTGTCAATATAAAATAATTGAGAAGCTGATTTCAGCCAAGTAGTTCTGCTTCAGGAAAAACACTCTCAGCTCTGGTATGCCTTTAGCTCTATCTATATGCTTTGGATCAAGGACTTCAAATTCAGCCAGCATTTCCAAAACTGTAAATTTTGCGCATGAGAAAGATAACAGCAACTTCTGACAATGTTATAATAGAACTGAAAGACCAGGTTAAAGATTGGAAACAAAACATTTTTCAGCAACATATTTATGCATCATAAATTATATCAATATTGACTGTCTTGTTTCCCATATAACTATCACAGTAATTATATATTTTTAAATTTCATAAAATGATTAACACAATGGACAAATCAGTGAACACATCTATAACTGCAGAAGTGTATTCTGCTTAGTAGGTAGAACTAGAATAGATATTGGCCAATGGCAACTGGAATTGACTGAATTCTTAGATCTAAAACATAAATTCTAATTTTAGGAACAGAATTAGGCCAAACTGTTGCACAGAGTAGAATCACAAGGAAACTAAGCCATCAAAGCTGAAAAAACACTGCTTTCAAATTCTGTTCAAATTGGGTAAATTGGAAGCCTTCTAATAAAAAGCGAGTTGACAGAGTCAGTAATAAACTGATTAAGTTTTAGCAGCTACAACTTTCTAAGGTTCCATCTGTTCTGTACATGTGCCATCCTGGGTCTTTGCCAGATCCCAGGCCTGAGATTCTCTTCTGTATTGTCAGTGACAGGACACCCCTGCTGTGTTCTGTCAACAAAGAAGTAGTGCCTGTTTGAATACGGAGGTGACAAACTTGGAACTGTGTAGGATACAATTAATACAGACAGCCTGGTTAATAGAAACTGAGATTGTTGGTCAAGCAGAATAGAAAATACGGATGAAAAAAAATGGGGCATAGGAATATAGCCAAAGCATTATGTAATAATACCATTACGGGAAACTAAAAGTGACAACTTTCAGAATATTTGTTGAAGAAGTGAAAACAGAGAGAACTCAATAATAACTCTAACAAACAACTTGGAAGAAGTATAAATACATTTCAGAATGCCAAAGAATCTGCAAAGACAATAGATCAAATTATAAGAGGCGTGCTCAGAGGAGACAGTTTCTCTGCAGAAGTATTTTTTCTGGTGTTCATCATGGAATGGAAAAGCATGGTAAGAGTCTCACATCAGAGCACTTTTTCATGGAAGACTCAAAGAGTCTATTTCAAACAGAAGCACTGACAGAACCTAAAAACAAATTAACAAATGAAAAAAAAAGCTAGTTTCCAGAATGACAAGGTATATACTCCTTGAGCTCTGAAGGAACTATTGATGTTACTGAAAAATATAACAGCTAAACTACTCAAGATCATATATAATCTCTCACTTTAAACCACCCTAGTATTGGTGATTAACATAATCAGTATCCTTAAGAAGATTCTACAGTAGATGAATAAAGATGGTGCTAGTAAGTCTAGAACAACTAGGGAATAAGTTAGTAAATATTATATATTGTGGAAGAGTCACCAGGGCATTTGTAACACAGTGACACTTCACAAATCTAATGCAGCTTTTAAAGTCAAAAAATATCCAGAAGAGAAAGTTGGTTGGCAGCATACTGAGTTTCAAAAAGGCACTCCCCAAAGCCTCTTAGAGAAATTAAGCCACACTGGCATTAAGAGCTTATGTCTTTCCACGAATAAATCACTGGTGAAAACACAGGAAATAACACTGGGCCCTGATGGTCAGCTTTTGCAGTGGATGGAGTATCCAAAAGAGTTCCATGGCAACCTGTTCTGGGACTTGTGCTTTTCGATATATTTGGGAAGGAGATGTCCACAGATGCTACTCAGAACAGAGAAGATGAGAGTCAACTGTGAAAATATGCAGGATTTCTCTAGTGGGAGTGGCTGAGAGATGAAACAGGGGATGAAATTTAGTGTACATAAGCACAAAGCGAGACAAAAAGGTAAACATACTTCTAAATTTACATATGCATCAGTCTCTGAGCTTGTTATTATCACTCACAGATAACTCCAAATGTTAAGTTAGAGTAGACATACACAACAAAAATAGTAAACTCAGTGCTCAGCAGATAAACAGGCAGATATCAGGAACTGTCAGGAAAGAAACAGAGAACAAAACAAAAAACACCGTTAAAGTACTCTACAACTGCATGCCGTACTGAAGCCTTCAGTTTTGTTTCCTGATCCCAAATAAAATATAGTTAAACCAGAAAAAGCACAGAATGTTACTGAAAACCTCCTGTAGAAGGAAAAACTAAACAGAATTCTTCAGCCTAGAGAAGAGGCAGCTGAGAAGGGGCAATGCTCTCTCTGCAGCACTCAGTCACATAAAGAGGAAGCAGTTGTTCCCCATGTCTTCCACTGGGACACCTTGGTGAAATCACATGGAAACAGATGGCAAGTGACAGGTTCAACTTAAACAAAAGGAGACTGTTCTTCACATTCCAGGTAATTAAGCTGTAGACCTCTTTGCCGTAGGCTCTTCTGAATGTTAACCACATCCATGAGCATATGAAAGACTAGACAAAATTTTATAAACAAAGTGCCTCCAGACCCACTATGGGTGGTTTGAAAACTAGCACCATGTGCTTGCTCTGTTGGTGTATGTTTCTCCCTATGCATGCGTTATTGCCTCTGTTAGAGTCAAGAGGCAGAGCTAGATGGACTCAGTGCTGGGTTCGCACGTGCCTTCGGGTAACAGAAGAGGAGGAGAAACAAGACTGGCTAAAGAGACCGAGGGGACAAAAGAAGAGAGACAGAACATTTGCCGCAGGTAGTAGAGGATGCAGGAGGGGTGTCTTGGGCATAACTGGCAATGTTTATCAGTGGGGGGGTGCTGCAGGACTGAGTGTAAACTGTAGCGAGGTGACTGGAGAACAAAAAGAAAAAAAAAAGGGGGGGGGGGGAAGAAGAGGTTTCACAGATGCAGGGGGTGTTTTCCCTAAGAGTGCGTGTGCTTGTTTCAATCCCAGAATCACTAATTAGAAGTTTGTTAACTAACAATAAACTAAATTAGGAAATTGGGTCCTGCTTTGAAAAGTTTACCTCCAGTTAATTGAATGTGCTAAAGTTATGAGTACTTTTCACTCGAATCGCCAGGTTTCTCTTCCTCTCATTAAATAATAAGTTTTACGGTAAACATCAACACTGTTACCTTCAAAACCCCTACAGAAACGGAGGATTCTGTTGTCAGAACCAGGTCTCAGTGTGCTGAGTTTGGGGAATGGAACCTCATACTCCGTTTTCAGTAATGTGACAACTCCTGAACTTCATGTTTGTTTCCACATAGGTTATAATCTACCGTTAAGTAGGAGTACAAAGAAGGCAGTGTGAGTTACTAATACCAAAATGAGCAAGTGTTAAGGTCTCACCTGAAATAAGTATGAGCCAGAGGTATCTGCACTGGAACTCTCATTTTGTATCGTATTCTGTTGGGTTATAGCATCCTCCTTCTTTCGCTCCTTCTGCCCTGCTTCATCATCTTCATATTCATCGAGGCTCTAAACCCAAAAATATTCAGTTATAAAACAGTCTTTGTATGTTGCTTCATATGCTTCCCATATTTCACAAAATCCATGCATCAGTGAATATTTTCAAAGATTAATTTCATATTTCAGTAAGGCTTAATTAATTGTTTAAATGCTTTTCTTTCCATTAATATTGATATCTCCAATACAAGAACAAAGTTTGACAACTAACTGCTTTTTCTTTATCACAAAAATAAGAAATAAGCAAACCAAGATCCAACTTCACAAAGCTTTAGGCAACGTTGTCTAAGTTCAGTGCTAATCCTGCTCTGAGCAAGAGCTTGGACCCTTCCTAAGGTCCCTTCCATTTGAATGAGTCTACAATCCTGTTTGTCATATGCAATTATATGACCTCTACGTAAGAGATTTTGAGGAAGTATAGAAAAGGGAAAAAAGTTAATTGTACTCTTCACTCAACAGCTGATCTTTTTTGACACAGTGGCATCTGCTGAGATTGAAATGTCAGTCTGAATCACCCATCGTAATTTTGCTCTCCTAGTTTTTGGGTTTGTCTTTGAAAATTTACCATTGAAAATTAGTAATTTTTAAATTCGTTGGACAGTCATTAATTACTAACAATACATATATAACATTTTGGCTCTTCATCACAAATGTTTCATACTAGACTCACTGAAATACTTGATTCAACAGGATTAAGTTTCTAAAGCCCTGACTGCTGACAGGTGAGAGAGACAAAAAATAAATAAATAATCAGTAACACTGCCTCTGTTCTAGCTCAAGAGCCACGCTACAGCGAGGGTAGAAGTGTGACTCAACCAGCTTTGAACTAAGTCAGCTATGTCTACATCGGTCTATTAGTTTAACATACACAAATTTACAAAAAGAAAAAGCACAATCTCATGTTTAGAAGACCAACTTGAAGCAGACACAAAGCTCAAAAAAAATCTGACCACAACATCACAAGCTGTTTGCCAGCACCCTGCAGTAAAGCAAGAGGTGTGTGAGACCTCGTTCCAAAACCACAGGGAACTAACCATTCTAAGGTACCAGAAAAAGCTTCTAGATGAATGTGCAATCGCTTGAAAAACAGTGAACGAGGCTACAAGAGAACAAAGATGAATGTCAAATTATTTCAAGAGAATTTTCCAATGCACAAAAAAGAAAAACGCTATTCTGAGGGTTAGATACTGACAATCTCTGACATCATCTTATCCAAAAGACACAAAACTAATCAAAAGCACATAATGAGAATTCTGGAATTTAGTGTTTTTTAAAAAGAAAACCATTGTTAGTTACTAACTGAAAATAGTAGTAACATACAAAAAATTAATTTCAGCTGTTCCAAAGCAAACACTGCGGTGACAGAACTGCTAAAAAACTGACAAACTAGAAAGGTACATGTTTCCAAAAGTGAACGTAATAAAGTGAACGTAAGTGAACCTGAATAAAGGTCATTTAAATTCTCTCATGGCAGAATCCTAATGCAATTTCACCAGTCTACTTCTAACCAACATTGTAATGTAAATGATGAGGACCTCTCTACTTCTATGACTAAGAAAAAGCTAACATGAAAGATTATTACAGCTGAATTATTATACATTCAAAAACACATTCAGTAAGTGGTCTTCTCAAATAAAATAATTATAAATAAAAAAATACTTAATTTGGTTTTCCTACATGCATTTTTAACAGAGCGTTTAAAAAACACTGTCACAGCACATTCTAGGAGATGATCTTTAAAATCAACATCTTCTATCTTTTATAAACTGTAAAGCTTAAAAAACTGGGTAACATAAACTTAAGTCTGTAGCCTAATTTATCTCATTATCCTAATAATCCATTCTGAAGTGACAAAACAAGAAATAATGAGCCATTACTGCAACAAGAAATGCAGTGATCTTCAGCTCTTACAAAACTAGCCTCCTTCAGAAAGAACTACAAGGCTCACAGAAGGTCTCACATAAACTAAGACTAATGTCATGCAGATGAAGAATGATACTATGTTGGAAAAATACAAAAACTTTCAGATTGTTCTTCCAGCCTCCAAGTTGTTCCTGTAAGAGAATGAGGACCCCAGATAAAATCAAAGGAAAGAGGTAGTTTGACATGAGTTTGGAAGAGCAGCCTCTAATTAGTGTAGGAGAAAACCAACTGGAGACAGAAGAGACCAGTAACCTTCTTTGCATTTCTTTGCACCTTGAAAAGCTTTGCATTTTCAAGGAACAACATTCTTTAAGGAGAAGCATAAAGCTCAAGTTACAATATTGTAGGTAAAAAACAAAAAAAAAGTCTTTGTAGAGATTAAGTAGCTAAGTGCTCCCTTCTTCAGAAATTCTCTCCTTCTTCAGATACATGCTTCTCATAAGCTTTCCAGAGACCATCAGCATTCCACAGAAATATTGTTCTCTGAATACAGTGACATCTGTAAGGAAGGATGTTCTCTCTTTCAATATAAGACCACCTGCTACTAACTATTCTCGTACCAGTTTTAGACAGCAACAACATGTCATCATCTGATACGAAATTTCCAGCCACAAAATTTTAAACTAAGCATTTTCAGTTCGGATTTGCTAGCGATGTCCATTCCCACCCCTTCCTTTCTTCTCAGGAAGGTCCAAAATAACAAGACCGCTAATCAACACCCTCAAAAGGTATTAACACCACCACCCCCATAATTCATACTTCCAAAGTTAAAGGCTTTCTTCCCAAGCATGAAGCAGTTAAGAACAGTTTATGTAAACCTCACTTGGAGCATCCAACCTGCTTTGAAAGCTACTGGGGCTTGCTCCCACTTCAGTTCCCTACATTGGAGCATGCTCCGAGCCAGCTGGGGCCAACACAAGTTTGAGTGGCGAGAACCACAGAAGAAGCAGGTTTTTATTACTTGTTACAGATGAGGTAGAAGAGTCCTAGACAGGTTGCTCCTCATCATTTGCAGCTGATGTGGCACATTTGGCTAGGGGCGCCAATGCCCTCCTGCCCTAAAGCAGATTACTAGTCACTGTCAAGGACCTTCTGTGGTTTCCCAAACACAAAGGTTACGTTCCCCTTCCAAACATACAGACATGCATATACCCACACACTAATTTAAATGATGCCCATGAAATGCTTGCTGAGTACAAGTCAACATGATAATAACTACAGAATTTTAACATTTTACTGCTTTTTACTGAAGTAATTAAGTTTAGTTTCAAAAACCATTAGCCTTAATCAGGAAATCCATTTATTTTGAGTCACGACAAAATAAGCTTTCCTATGCAAAATAATACTTTACATTCAATGTTCTGCTTATGCACTTCATCAGCTTCAGTTCGATCGCTAAACAATGCTATTTATATTCTAATGTAACTTTTACAGTAATAAAAATCAGTGAAAGCCACGTTCCAGTTGACAGATTAATTATTATTGAAAAATTAAAAATGTACAAAGCGTTGTTTACACACTCTAAAAAAAATTTTTGTTCAAACTGCTCTGCAGCTGAAACTGCCTCAGCCCACAGGATGTTTCAATCAGATGCATTACTCGCATCGCAGGCTCCTCTCAAATACTCCACTTTGCTTTAGAAACTAGTTTCATGTCATTGAAAAAGACATAAATGCAGTAATTACTTCCTCTGTCAGTACAGCAGAGAAATGGGCTTGTAACCACCGAGGTGTAATTCTGGCCCATTATACAATTCTCTCTGTCCATTCCCTTCCCCCTGTTTTTTTTTTATTTTATTTTGCTGCTAGGCACATACCATTTCAGATTCTTATTTTCCAGTAAAATCATCCGAGTTTTGTACAGCAGATATTCGATGTGACATTCCCACATCTGATCTTAATATACGGAATCCACAGAAATTCTTTAGGTTTTCTAGCATTTCAGTAAATGTTTGAAGCTGTAGTATAAACATTTTTCTGTAAACCCCTAGTATGGAAAATACAAGCAGAGTAAGATGCTTTCAAAAGAATGAGACTGGTGAAGGAAACAGCCACAAAGATATGCCCACATTCCAGCGCACCACCGGCCTGCGGTTTAAGGAGACATTGTACACAGAACATTTCTAATGATTCACTGGGTTGCGTCCTACAAACGTTTGTGCATCGCTAAGAACAAACACAAATTGGGGAGGGACTGTCTTTTCCGTGAAAACAAGCGGTATTCCTACATGCAAAAGATCAGTTTCCGAGGGCGCACAACCTGCTCTCACCACAAGAAATGGTGCTGAGTCAAAATGTCACCATCCCCATCCCCCTTCCTGCACCAACTTGCTTTTGCCTTGCAGTTCTGCTGGCCGAGCACATATCTAAGAGCTTCCCAATTCATTTCATGAAAGGTCAGACAGGTTAGTTTCAGCAGTTTTAATTAGCCCAGTTGATTTTGCCTGAACGAGATGCAAGCCCATTCAAACTATATTTCACAGAACTCCATGGATGGTTGCGCTACATCAGCTTTTTGAAAACGATGAGCACTTGAGATAGTAACATATTTAACCAGTACAGCAAGATGTGCAAGCAGATACATACTCTCAGTAAAACCCTGTGTTCAACTTCACATTGGGCAATAAACAGAACATCTACAACACAAGCACCATCGGTTATCTTGATTTTTTTTCAGCTTCTTAACTATGTTAACAATCTAGAAGAGGAAACAAATCTAGCCTTCTTCCCGTTGCCCCAAAATGACTCTGAACAATTAAAAAAAAAAATTTCTAAAATCAATTTTACTGCAAGAATATTTTCCACGTTTAGTAAAAGTTCAAAGTGCCCTATCACAACTTCAAGATGCTGAAAAAGTGCAATGTTTCTATTAAACATCAACATTTCCTAAAAACTTCCACAGTAGAAATACAAGACAAGATATAAGAACTAATAAGAATTAACTACAACAAAATACATTTTGGGAATCAACATTATTTTTCCCTCAGCTGACCATTCAGAAAATCCTGGAAAAGTTAACTGGGAAAAAAAAAAAACCAAACCAAAACCACACAACTATTTTACACATAGTTTCTTTATAATCCAGCTTCT